ATCACCTTGCAAATGCTGGCGGATGAACACAACCAACAACAACAGCGAGAAGGAAGAACCTGCTCGAGCCATTTAGCAAGTTGTTTGAAAGTCATTACTTTCATGAGACGATAAAGCCCGAATGTTACTTTCCAAGCCATTCCCGGCACCAAAATCATCATGCCCACTAGTACTACCTGCCAGAAACGATGATGAGGACGCTAGAGGATCTCTCTCACTAGCCATAATCCCACTGCTACCCTCAGCATCCTCATCCAGCACAGGCATTCCACCTTTATTCCCATCAAATCATCGTCCACAGACTGATTTTGGGACGATGAGGAAACAGAACCCAACCCTGCATTGTGATTCCGTTCGACTGCTCCACTAATTCGTATCGCAACTTCCCCAGAACTGCTCTCACTGCGGCCACTGCAAATGGTCACAGAAGCAGAATCCAGCGAGGAAGTTTGACGGTCAGGTCGTCGTAATCCAGAAGTGGTAGTTTCGTTGTTGTCAATTACGGACTCAGAATAGCCGATTGACGAGCTCGAGCGGAGACGGCCAGAGTAATCCAGTAAAAAAGAGAGTGGAGAAGGCAACCGCACCCCGTACCACGTTCCACTTCCAGTACTGGCAGTGCTGTTACCATCAGTCGTATTTACAACTCCTGCAGAAGATGATGAAGAAATGGCGTGTTGATCTGTATCATCAGGCCCTGATGTTCCCATCTTTTAGACGCAAAATTAAAAGCCTAATCTTCACTTTGCTTCGTGACTGATCTTTCTTATTTCTCCACTACACTATCCACTCTGGTGTTTTTCTCCCGGGGGGATAACACACAAAAAAAAAAGGGTATCTTTCATAAAAATCTGAAATGATAATTGAATTTATAGTGAGAGGGAGACAGAAAAAGAAAAAGCAAAAACTTCTTGCACATAGAAACAAAAAGGAAAACAATAACATGGGAGCAATAAATGAATGGGGACACATTACCTAGAGATTAAGCAAAAGAATTAAAAGAATCAAAATCAGCCGCGACGCTGTGAAACTATGAAACCGTGTTAGGTTTCGGAAGTGGCGGAAGAAGGAGGATCAAAGTCAAAGCCAGGGAGCTGATACCTTGCCGATCCTTTTCTTGTCTTTAACAAATTTCGAGGTTCGTGTCGGGTGAGTGCGCGTGAAGAGAGATGAAGAGAAGAAGCGTGGAAAAAATCAAGGACCCGTGGCGAGGTAAACGACTAGGAAACGCGTTCAAAGTTCAAACAGACAATTTAAGAGGTTCTTTTCTTGGCTTCGCCATTCCAGGCGACGAAAAAGGTCTTCTGCCTTCTTTATACTTTCCCCTTTCTCCCCTTTTTGCCAAAAATTTTGGAGACTTTTTTGTTGCTGCCTTGGCTGTCACGGTTACATTATTCGAACACATTCCTAACAACTTCACAATTGAGATTATCTGCTATGTGTTGTCATCATTGTGTCATAGACCAAAACAGGGATTTGGCGCACTTAACTTACTGAGTGTCCGTTTGGATTAGTGGTGAACAACTGTGATTTTAGATAATCGTAAATTTTATAAGTGATACTGACTATAAATGATACTGGTTAATCGTGATTTCTGTTTGGATATTTTTTTTTATAAGTGATTTTAAGAATTGTGATTATGTTTGATTTTTATTTATTAAAATCACTTATGGGTGTATAATTACTAAAAAGGACATGAAATTAATAAAGTTGTTTACATTTTCATAATTATTATATTTAATAATAAATTTTATTAAATATAATTTAATAAATGACATGAATATTTAAATATTATTTATTTTAAAATTATTATTATTTAAAATCACTTACAAAATTTATGTGTAGTACAAATATTAAATAAAAGACCCATATAAATAAAAGATGAACGAAAATATAAAAAAAAATTTGATTAGCAATTTTAGTAACATATATAAGGAAATTGAATCTTCAATCAAAATTATAACTAAGAAATAAAATTTAAAAGAAAACATTTTCATATTGTATTTTTTAAAAAAAAAATAAAATAATTACCATTAGAATGAGGGGTAGATTGGAGAAAATGTAGTTACTGAAAATTCATCGGGATTTTTCAAACGCATAAGCTATCTTTTGTTGCTTATCCTAAAAGTGCGGTGAGAGGATAAAATCACGATTCATCGGGATTCTATAAAAATTATCCAAACACCCTAACCATGCTTCATAAGCACTTATTTGAATTTAAACGGATTTATTTGAGATTCCACCGCTTAACCAAACAGGCTCTGAGTCATGCTTTTTTTTGTTAGGAATAAATGATAAATTCTTGAGGAAAAAAAATGTCATTTGACCGATATTTTATGTGACCATGAATAATAAATTCTTTAATAGTAAATTGCATTCCGAAAAGATATGTGTTGGTAATTTAATTGATCGCACCGCTGGTATGGACTGCGACGTGCGTTTTTCCGTTATTTTCAAAGGTCATCGTCGTCCAGATGACCATCACTGATGCTTAACCACAACAGACAGCTATACTGATCATAAATAAAATGATATTTATATACAGATGGCGTTTGGATTAACTAATTTTAATTTTTCAAATGATTTAGTGTTATAGTATGAGTTTTGCCTCTTAAATGTAAAAGTATTTTTCTTTCATTCCCAAAGCAAGCAATGTAACATAGGCAGTCCACCGTTTTTCCCAAGGCCACTTCTCTTTTTTTTTTTTTTTTAATTGTGAAGGCCTTTTTTGTTTATTGGACATTTCTGTTCTAGGGTCTTTTTTTTCCGTGGAAAACTGAAAATAAATGCGTGGAATATAATTTCCCTAATCACTTTTACCTTCCAAAAAAAAAAGAAAAATTATGAGCATTCATGAGATTTATTAAAATTTAAATGGTGACAAACGGGATATTGTGAATCTTGTTACTAAATTTAGCGACATAAATTAGGTGATCAGTTAGTTAAAAGCAGCGTAAGGTCAAGGAAAGGGGAAAGAAAAATAGAAAAAGTACGGAAAACTTGTCCTGATTTAGAACCAATTTGGTGGGAATCCCATACGAAAAAACACGTATTGACAGTATCTGAAGGGGGGGAAAGACAAGAACAAATTTTCAACAAAATTGGATCTTGCAATGAAAGATGCATAGCAATGAAAATGATGGAGGAAAGATGAACCGCGGATGAACGTGTGATGACATTAAGATCATGAGTGGAGAATGATCTAGACAAGCTGGCAATGATGAAGCTCCTTAGGCAACCTCTACTTGAAGAATGTAGGATGTTGTTTGCATCATTTAAGGATGTTACTGTTATTGTCATTTAATTTCCTATTACTATCGGTTCTACTTATAAAGAGCCTGTTTATAGTATAATTACAAACGAGTTCTTATAGTTAAAATCAGAAATTACATTACAAACGAGCTTTTATGATTACTAGTGTTATTTTTTGTTGATGAGTTTTGTTATCTCAATCTCATTGGCTCGTACTCCAATCCTTCTCACATTATTTTGCTCTTGTATTTCTGGCCAACAATCTCATTTGCTTTGTTCTTATAATCTTATTGGCTTGTATATTCATAGATTCTTCCTATTATCCTCTCTCCGTTTTGCTTATTTTCTAAATTGATTCAAGTGCGAATTCTACTGATATTTCAATTGGATTTTGAGTTGTTGATCCGGTATGTGTCTTTTCATGGATATTTCTGAAAATATTATTCATTTTTCATGGGATTTATACAGGAGAGACAATGAGACACTATGGGTTTGTCAAGTTTTTGAACAATTTAAATGATATTAATTTGATCCTTCATAGCTTTGCCAGTAAGAAAATTGTGACTTGATGCATTTTTAGAGGGTTAAGATATAATAGGAACTATGAAATAATTTTCACTGGTGCCCCAAGACATCTGTCAGTAAGTGCAGGCAGCGGAGGGACGGATGGATTTGCAGGCCAAATCGGTTTGGTCGTTGATTGTGGGAGAAGGGTGGCTTTTTTTTGGGGGGGGGGGGGGAATTGTTGAAGGGTTGGAGGAAAATGAGAGGCAAAAACATTTAGGATAACAAAAAAATAACTAAAGAAGGAAGAAGAAAATGAGGGAGACAATGAGCACTTTACGTCCAAATTTTCATTCGTATGAAAACTTCTTTTTCCCTTGGAGTTTTGATCATGTGAGGAAAAGGGAAGGCTACAATGATAAAGACCACGGAATATATGGGAAATCTTCCACGGGGCCACATGGATCGATAGGATGAAATGTAAAGACATCATTATTAAAGTTTGTTTTTTTTGGGGGGGGGGGGGGGAGAATGAGCTATGTCTCTAAATGTTTCATATGCAAAGATTTTCGGGCAAACCAAAATAAAATTAAATTCCAAGGATAAAAAATTTTGGCGTCAGATTTCAGAAACTAAAACTCGACTGAGTTCAAATTTTAGGATTAACTCTTTAATTATTGTTTTATTATCAATTTCTTTTGTGTTATGAGTATTATTAAGTGTGTATGTTTATCTCCTCTCTTTTTTCAATTTCATTAACTCCCACTAACTACTTTCATTAGGTATTAATTTTTCACTACTCTATTACTCCTGTCTTTAATATTGTGACTCACCTTCCACTCACATTCATGTGATTTATTGTCCACTATGTCATTTAAGTATAAGTGTAACGTATACGTAACACTATGCCTATAAATAAAACATGTCATTGTGAAGTGAAGCAGGTAAAAAAAATATATCATTCTTTTATTTCTTGTCTATATTTTTTTTCTAATCTATTTTCTTTGTTCGTTAATTTTATAACATTACGGTGGTATTAAAAAAAAATTATCATATCATTGATTGGGCCTTCAGCTGGTTGACCTTGAAATCGGAACCACTGAATTTTTTTTGGTTTTCGGATGGGTTTGAAAACATTGGTTTGTACAAAGCCCAAAAACCCTCGTCATATTGGGCTTGGGCAGAAGCAAGCCCCGAAGCCCCATGAGGCTGCTCTTTATATAACAAGCATTTTAGGGTTTTGTTGTTCCTGCACCTCGCGAACGCCAATCGCCCGTTGAGACAGGCACCATGGGGAGGAGTAAGCATCGATCTCTCTCTGAAGAATTCGATATTTCTCAAACGTTCTATTTGATTTCATTTTTCTACAAGGGCTTCCATGTGTTATTTCTCCTTGTAATCTGTTTGCTGCTGATTTCGTGTAGATAGTTCAAATTCATATGGAGTCATATGTGGCTTCATCTGCATTACATTTGCTTTGGTTATGTACATTTCTCATCTATTCCTGCTATTCCACCTGTGCACGTCAAGGTTTTGAATGTCGCACAGATTGGTATCTTTCCTGGGTTCGTCGCATTTACCGAACGAGTTGCTTATGAAATTTTCTGCTGGAAGTTTGATAATTTGGTTAAGTGCCATCGAAAATAGTGGGGTCATTGATTTTTCATAGACCTTACCGTGCGGTTGACATGTTCGAATGTCAGCTGTTTCAATCGGCTTCTTTGGAAGATGAGTTTGCGCATTTCTGCTCGGTCGAGTCTTTATTTAATTTATGTGAGCTGGGGAAGGAATTATTTTGAACGCTGCGTGACCCAATAACTTTGTATCGAAATAGATCTACCAATATTTCAATTGCATTCTTGGTCCTCAACCATTTAAACTACATTTTAGGTGCGTTGGAAATTGTACTTCATGGTTTTCAACCACTGCTGGCTCTCACTACTGATAATATATCAAAATCTATCCACGAAGAGTTTCTATAGTTATTCATGATTGTGATTCTATGCCTCATTACCACTGGATAGTTAATGTCTGTGAGCTTAAATTTTTGAGCTCGTGTGACTTGGTTTTTAGTTTATGATGCTTCAATAACATCCCGATTCATTTCCTTGCACTGCTCATGCTTGTCATGGTCTGTTTATGATGTCTGATAGTCTAATTCCATGATTATCAATTTGCTGTAAATAATAGACACGGTTGTAAAGTAAACTAAATTTCTGATTGTATGGCTAAATGACGCAGGACCAGCAAGGTGCTACAGGCAAATTAAAAACAAACCTTACCCAAAATCACGCTACTGCCGTGGAGTTCCTGATCCTAAGATCAGAATTTACGATGTTGGGATGAAAAAGAAAGGTGTCGATGAGTTTCCTTTCTGCGTCCATCTTGTTAGCTGGGAGAAAGAAAATGTTTCAAGTGAGGCCCTGGAAGCTGCTAGGATTGCATGCAACAAATATATGGCTAAATTCGCCGGAAAGGATGCATTCCACTTGAGGGTTAGGGTACATCCATTCCACGTTCTTAGGATTAACAAGATGCTTTCATGTGCTGGAGCTGATAGGCTCCAAACAGGGATGAGAGGTGCATTTGGAAAGCCCCAAGGAACATGTGCTAGAGTGGCTATTGGTCAGGTCCTTCTTTCTGTTCGCTGCAAGGACAGCAACAGTCATCATGCTCAGGAAGCCCTCCGTCGTGCTAAGTTCAAGTTCCCGGGCCGCCAAAAGATCATTGTTAGCAGAAAATGGTATGCTTGTCTCATTGCCTTTTGTTATGGTGGCATCTGAACTTGAATTGTTGTATAATATATTTAATTTTAGAACAGTCTTGTTTGTGCGGTTCGCTGTTTTCTGTTTCTAATTTGTTTGGAATTTTGACCTTTTTTAAAAAATATATTTGAATTAACTAAATGATTATCTTTTTCTGATGAATTTCTAGATGTGTTTTTAAAGATCCTTTTCGAAAATATTTTGATCTGAGATACAGATATAGAATGATGCCCTGTACCAAATCCGTGAGTCGCTGGATTGGTTGTTAAGCGATTTGATTGGTGAAAGGTGGCAATTGATGTGAAATTTTTTGATTTGAGATGCATAAAAAGAGTAACCCCTCGTATACGTACTAGAGTTAGATTTGACATCTGATGGTTGTCTGGGTCTGCTTTCCTTGTCATGTGGACTACGTGGACGATTTGCATGTTTGGTTCAGCAGTATCATTATTCTTTAAACTTCTTTCTCAGGGGCTTCACCAAATTTAGCCGGACCGACTATGTGAGGTTCAAGTCAGAGAACAGGATTGTGCCGGATGGTGTCAATGCCAAGGTAATGCGAAATATGATTGTTTACTTTACTTGAATGCCAAACGTTGGGGAATGGTCTATTTTTCCCCATTCTGGGAAATGAAATGATTCGTTAGAGCGCAAAACTTTTGAACACGTCCTGTGTTGGAGTAAATAACTGGCAGATGAGGTGTGAAACCGAATTAACACAGTCAGTAATATATTGGAGCTTCTGCTCCTCAGAGTGACAATTTCTATGGTGAATGAGTTTCTTTCCATTTTTAATTTCCTCTGTAATTGGATTATTTGAGATTGGAGCTTACCATTTCCTTCTGCATTTTTCAGCTTCTTGGATGCCATGGACCTTTGGCTAACCGTGAGCCCGGAAGAGCTTTTCTGCACGCAACTGCTTAGGCCGTCTGTTTCATCTTTGAATCAGGATAATTATTAAAGACTGAGTTTTGGTTTCTTATTTGTTATCGTTGCTGCAGCAAACCATGCTAAGAGTTAACTTTTGTTTGTTCGAACTTTCAGTGGAATGAATTCTTTTCAGTGGCATGACTTTAGTTTTGTTTTATTCCAATCCCTTGCGTCAAGACCATCTCATCCTTTTGTTATTTGTCAATCAATTTATTGAGCTAAATTGAATAGGGAAAATCCGAAAATATACTTGTTGAATTTTAAAATTTTAAATTGATAACCATAGTTACTATATGATTATATTTAAAAAAGAAATGTAATATATTTTTGTAGTAATTTTTAATTCAGAATTTTAAATTTTAAAATGTATTTTTTTGAAATTTTTTCAATTGAATGATGTCTATTTACTTATTCAACAAATAAATGTCATCGTGCTGTTGAATTCCTCATTTGATATCGGTTTATATATGTCAGATGTGAGTCAAGCTGCATGATTTGGCAATGCGGCTGGAGATTCAGAGGGTTGTAAATTATAAGAATTATTTTCTGTTGGGTTTTTAATGGACGCAGCTTCCCCCTTTTTTGACCTGGGAATGAATCGAAGCTTCGGCAAAATTAGTTATCGGCGAAGTTTTGTTGCTGATGAATGCGATGGATTGTCTTCCGCCCCGGGGGGGGGGGGAGCCATCGGTTCCTTTTAGGCTTTGACATTTTGGTTGACCTTGATTTGCATTTTGTTATATCGAAACAGTAATTTTGCATTATGAAATATGAACTGAGGATAAGGGAAGAAGACAGGTAACATCTATGAAACATGCAAGGTCCAAACTAGTATTCCAAAATGACTGAAAATTGGTATTCTAAAATGACAGATTTTTTCAGGAGTATTTTGAAATTCTATCTTTTTTTTGTTTTAAAATGACTTCATTTTTCTCAAGCATTTAAGAAAATCCTACTTTTATTGCTTGTCTGAAGCGCCGGCGCTCCGATACCGGCTTGCGGAGTTTGTAGTCGAGGAATTTTCGGTTAACTGGGTTAAGGTAAGGTTAGATTTGTTCCCAGCTTTTTTTTTTTTTTGGGTTAAAGTTTCTGGAATAATATTCAGTCATCGAGCTACTAAAATTTCTAACTAATATAATGTAAAATAATATAACTCCTAAGCTAATAGTAATTTTTACTCAATAAATAATAAAAACAGCTTAACATATAACAAGTTATTTCTGATTTAGTCATTCTATTAAAAACTGGAGTTAATATTTTAAATTGGATGGATAGTTATCTTGTATTATTACATGAGAGCAATTAGATTCTAAAGATTTTTGTGTTATTTCAGTATTTTCGGGTACTGATTTGATCTTGCCCGTTAGAGATTTGCCTGACTTTTTAGGTTTTTTTCCCATGAGATAATCACTCATGACTTTACAGGTTAATTAAAAAATTGTTTAGATGGAAATCAAATCATAATTTTAGAAGTGATTTTACGATATACGAAATAAATATATAAAAAAATTTATCTCTATTTATAAAAAAAATATGTTTAAAAAGACTTCTCTTGATTTCCAAACACCTCCTAAATGAAATTTGATTAAACGAAATAATGTACGACTAAATGACATGAATAAATGATCTTCAACAATGGGGGTTTCTTTATTTTTTTTTTTGGCTCATAAACAATGGGAAGTTAAGCCTTGGAGTACCATGTCCTTGAAGGGAAAGACCAAAAGATCGACTGGTGGTGGTTGGCGGCGGAATTCCATTCCCAATGTCAAGAGCAATCCATGGTCTCCTCCGGCGACGGGACGGGATCAATCACCATCTTCATCGGTTGAGTTCCCCATCTTCAGTATGCAGTCCAGCTCCACAGGATCTATTCTCGATCCCTTTTTCTTCTTCATGTTTGCCCTATCCTTCACGCGCCGACCGTTTGTTCCTTCGTACGCAATCGAAGTTTCTCTCCTCTCATTCATTTGCTGCGAAGCCCACCTCCTCAATTGGGACATTGTCCCGATTTTTATATTCTTCGGAGCAAAATCCTCTTTCTTCTGTGATTCGCGCTTCGCGGAAATACTACGCTTCTTCTAGCCGTACTCCCCAGACATTCTCTTCCAGGAGGTCTGTAATTCCTAAAGAGGGCGACAACTGTGCTGGGTTTCGCTCCTTCTCCTTTAAATCTTCTTATTTGGGTAAAGTCAATGGAGGTTTCGCAAAAAAGGTCATTGATAAGCCAGTGACTGCAGTGCGTTCTGCTTTCTCCCGATACAGTGAGGCCATCGGTTTGCAAGTTGAGGCATTCTTTAAGAGGAATTACCTGTTTCTACTCGGGGCAGCTGGCGTTATGGTTTGTGCGCTGCTCTGGAGGATCATGTTTGGGATTGCAAACGCCTTCATTGGGCTGTCGGAAGGCATGGCTAAGTATGGGTTTCTTGCCCTTTCATCTGCTATCGTTGCTTTTGCTGTAAGTTCTTTTAATTGTCCTATGTATTGTACCTTGTTGAGTTTGTGTTGCCTGAACATTCCTTGCCTTTCTGACTGGATCAGTTCCATTACTAAACGCTTCATATACCTGTTACTTTGGTTTGTCTCGACTAAGATTAGCATTCCTCCTGCATTAGGCATATTAATGTTGTATGATGTCTACAAGCTTTTCCTGAATATGTTAGACAGATTATTGTATTTTGTTCCCACATACAAACTGGACTGGAGCTTCAGAGCATAGATCAGTTTGCAGAGGGATAACACAAACAATATGAAATGTAGCATCCATAGCCTCCCATTAAGCTAATGGTTGGTTCTCCCTTGCCGAACTTTCACTTGGAAAAATGGTTTTCTCCTAAACTTTGCTCCATTGATCGATGGCAGTGATTCTATGTTCATTTCTTTTCTACTTGCATTATGTATATCAGTTATATTTCAAGATTCACTTTCCAGGATTTTCAACTCTGAGACATCGAAGTCTAGGCTACAGAACGCTACTTCTTCAGCTATTTGTTAGAGGTGCTTGTTCATAATGAATATTTAAAATCATGGGATGCTTGCTAGTTGCTGTCATGAAGTGCAGCCCTATGTATACCTGTGATGCCCAGTTGCTGATCTCATGATGTTAGAGTCAAACTGCACTCCTAGTTAGTTTTCCATGCACCCCTTTTGGACTGTTGATCAGCAACATATTCCTTATAGTCACTAGCCAATAGGTTGTGATTATTCCAATCGTAAATTTCTGTGCATAGTGATAGTACACTCCTTAATGTACTTCCTAAGAAAAATTTTGGAACTGTATGTTTGCCACTGTGAATTACTACTGATGGGACTAATCTCTACTTGTTAATAAATCACACGTTAGCTTGTGGATCATCACTAATTATCTTTAGCACTTTGCATTTTCAAGGGCTTGTACATTCGCTCAAGATTCACAATCAACCCTGATAAAGTATATAGAATGGCCATGACAAGACTTAACACTTCTGCTGGGATTCTTGAAGTTATGGGTCCCCCCCTTTCAGGAACTGATTTAAGAGCCTATGTGATGTCAGGAGGTGGGCTGACAATAAAGAAGTTCAAGCCAAGTATTAGGAGCAAGCGATGTTTTCTCATTTTTCCCATAAGAGGTTCTGAGAGGAAGGGTCTAGTAAGTGTTGAAGTCAAGAAAAAGAAGGGCCAGGTAAGCTTTGAAGTGTCCTATTTGATTCTGAAATTACTGCATCTAGCCTGGCTTATATGAATGTGTCATATCTCCCATACTGTCCACACATTGTCTTTCAACATCAAAGTTTGCTACGTGGTCATTGTAACTGGGCATGTTTTGTATCTCCGTGTTCTGGAATTCAACATGACATATCGCTAAAGTATTAAATCCTCTTAAATTGTTGCTGCTTGGTGTATGAAAGGGTTATTTTACTTACGCAAATGGTTGGAATAAATAGGTTGGAAATAGCTAAAACCTAATTGCTTGAATTAGCTTGAAGCAAGAAATAGATTTTTGTCATTGAATACATACACAAGCATGCTTTAAGTATGTATCTTAGGCAACTCCCACAGAATTAAAGACCATGAAATCACTAAGAAGCTACATGTTTGCCCTTTGTTCCTGATTTACACCATTCTTGGGGGCCACAAATTTCTTCAATTCTCTATCTTTTCAGTATATATCTTAGAGATGGTAGAGCGGCAGACTAATGTGGAGGAAAGCTTCTGAAAGCTGAATGACGGAAGCATAGCTAGATTTTTTTTTTAATTTGGTTTCGTTTCTTTTCTTCATTACTTCCTTTTAAAAAAAGAAAAAAAAAGAGCAAGAGGCTTCTGCCACCTAAATTGAAATTAAGCGCAGAACAACTTGGAAACATGATTGATTCAGTACTGGATAGTACTCATCCATTCAAGAGCAACAGACGTATTATGAAACACAACAGCCAAACTGGTAAATACAAAATGCAAAAATAAGGGAAGGAAACCATGTTTAGCATTCAAAGAGAGCTCTTGCCCAGAGAATCCTTCATCAAAATCGTCACACGTACCTACCTGCCTACCTACAAGCAAAGCACTCTCAAAATAACCTTCTGTCTCTTTCGTACTTGTCTAGTTTCCCATAGGTCCATGCCTCAGCAGAAGTATTTATCACCGGGGGTTCTGCTTTCCACCATCCTTCCTCACTCGTCTTCCTCTTGCTCTTCTAGAATACGTTTTCAACCTATTACTTGGGCATCAATGTTCGGGGTTAATTACTACTAGATACTTTAATAATATCGACCTGGAAAACTCATCAGGGTACTCAAAAAGAAGTGGTTGCTGAAGCTATTATTTGGGCCTTTGGACCTTGTATGCTTAAAATATTCCCGCTGCAGGTTCTATGACCAGAATGGGGTCTTGTTTGTGCTCAGCAATATACATCTAGATGCTTCAGAACAGCTGATTTTGATACTGTGTATTATTGCCATAAAAAAATTGAATGCAAGCGTCTTCTGGGTTCCTTTGAAGTCACGTCTATACTTATGGTTTGTCATGTGGCTTAGCCTGAAAATTTGTACCAGAAGTGAAGATATTTATTTGCGGCTTTGTGTGTATAGAACAGAGCTGCCAACTGAATGTACATTGTGGAGACGGACTTCTGCACGCCCCCTTACTCACTGGTTGAGCTGTTTGCTGTTTGTAGAACCTGTACTTTCCGCTTGGTGAATTCACTGGTCCTTTTCCATGACACAAAAAAAGTCAGCTCTAGTGCTCTCAGTTTCCAGAACTCTGCCATAGTATCGTTTCTCTTGTAACCCAAAATCTGTGAAGGATAATCACAAACGTTTTTTTTTTTTGTGTCTGCATCCCCCCCCCCAAAAAAAACTTTATTATTTCTTTGGCCAAAAACTTGTCCTTTAAATTAGTTATGGAAATTTTCCAAGAACTAAAAGAAACGGGAAGTGAAAAACTTATGCAGCCTTTGCTGTAATCTATCTATGCAGTATGATATGAAGTTATTGGCTGTCGATGTTCCCATGGCTTCAGGCCCAGACCAGCGGTTGTTTTTGATCGGGGATGAAGAAGAATACAAAGTTGGCGGGGGACTGATATCACAGCTTAGAGATCCTGTAGTGAAAGCAATGGCGGCAACCAAAGAATTTGATGATCTTGACCTGATTGAAGAAGAGGAAGATGCTGAAAGAGAACGTCAGGAGGCTGAAAGAAAGCAACGTGAAGAAATTGAAAAGCTGGAAAGCAGTGGCCCTCAGCAATAGTTCCTAATTTCTGGTTTTAATTTATTGATTTGTTATCTAAGTTTGTTTGAAGGATGCTGAGGCTTCAGTTGTCTGAGCTGCATTATTGTGGTTTATAACACATTTTTTTTGTTGAGTTTCAAGCTAGGTAAGTTCACAACATCCTGTACCGCAAATTGCCAATTTTATCCGAACCAAAGTTGAGAAAATAAAGCATACAGGTACTGAGGTGCACAATAAAGGTTTTGACGTTTGACCCAAGTGTTTTAACCTTTATGAATGGTCGTTACTGTTTTAGACTTTAGTGTTGTTCCACACAGCGATGGCCTATGCATTTCCAAATAGAGATGTCCAGTTTCTTATTTTGTTGAAAAGCGTGTGTTATCTCTGTAACGTCAGCATGATAGTTGCTGACAAGCTGTGACAGCCCACCTTGCCCTTAGAGATGCCATGAGTGAAGAAGGATCTCGAGGTTGGTTTGTGACAATAACTACGTTCTTGCTTAATTGACAAGTCTCCACCCAATTGACCCCACATTCACTCTGAGAAATTTGCCGACTTTTTAAATGGCACTTCTGCTCAACCTATGTTTTTCCTACTTGTCTGCATGGGCTATCTCCCGATCAACGTTCAATGTCTCTCTCTTTCTCTCAGGTTCATTAGCGACCGGTTTTGAAGAAGACAACCAACCAAGCATCAAGAGAACGAACCAATGCCCAATGGACGGTGTGAGATTTTGGCAACTAGGCCCAGTTGCGAGTTCCTCCTTCAGAAATCCAAGTTAGGTTTGACCAAAAACACAAAAAATCCAAAATGAAGGTGTGTCTTTTTGCTGAGTTTAGTTAGATTGATGATGATGTGCCCGCCACGTCATATCATGACTCCTTTCAATCCATGTGCGGAACATTATGACAGGTTCGATGTTGAATATGAAATCAAAACAAACAATGATGTCTGTCATTTTTCTCCTCTCTGAATCTGAAATTACTTTGACCAAAGGTTCTAGCTTCATCATACCCCATTTGGCTCCTACCGATGTTTTGAGGATTTGGCGCGCAACTTCCAGGAACTCCTCATCCTAGCTCTCGGCTCGGTAGGCTTGTTCACAAAATGCTCACGTATAATACTACTGGAGGTAGAGAAAAGGAATATTATTTGAAAAGTGCACAACTGTATAAGGAGGAGCGAGGGAGTGGCCTTTTTGAGTGGTGGAAGTTTGAGCTTACAGACAACAGTACAATTCCTTGTATTGTTTTCATCAATGTTGCGTGGAATTTGGTGTCTGCAGTGTGGTTTCAGTGTTCAAGAGCAAGGGGTGGACAGGACAACACTAATGGATGTGGTATGGTACTTGGTAGTTAAAAAGGCTTTGTTGTTAAACTCACTCATTATTCATCATTGCTGTCATTGAAAGTTATGAAGAACAATTATTTCCGGATTCATAACCAATCCAGTCTGGTATCAATGTCATTTAGCTAACTTTCACTCTCTCTTTCTCGCTTTGTGCAATCTGACCTGTGAAGGACATCAAAAGTCAGCCGCTGATATATTTCAGTATTACTTGTTTATTTAAGATTATTATATATAAGTTAAGAAGTATATAAAATATAATCTATTTGTATTTAAATTCGTCTCTCATTTAATGCCCCTAAAATATTATAATAATAGATAATTAATTATTCCAGAAATGAAATTAAATTTTTTTTACTAAATGTTGTATTGGAATTTTAAAAACACATATAATATGAAATAATTTTTTCCCCAAGGACTAATATAATAATAGTAAGATGGCGGGAGTAATAAAACTGCCGTAATTGTCAGTCTGACGCAACCAATCCCCAGGGTGATGAGCAATCGAGCATCAGCAATTAATAGGGCTGTATCGAATTTTTAAAATAAATTACCATGTTACTCATAATATGTAAATAATATAATTTGAAGTGAAAAAGTTGACTTTACTAATAAAAAAATAAATTAGTAGGGGATTAACTCTTAAAGAAATCGTAATTTATTTAAGTCCTTAAATTCATATGTAATAAAAACCAATGGTACATTAATTCAATAAAATTTCAAGGGTGTTGTGAAATTAACCGGTAAAGAAAATAGATTAAAGAAGAGATGTAGATAAGAAAATGAGATAATAATATTGTGTTCCTTCACTTGTTTCACTTGCATCACAATACAATAGTATGTCCTATTTATAGACATAGTCTTACATATGAGTTACATTATTACTTAAATGATAGATAGTATATAATAAACCAAATGAATGTAAAGTGGGGGTGAGTTACAAAATTAAAAGTATAGTGAAGAAGTAATGGAATAGTGAAAAATTAATGCTTAGTGGAAGGAGTGGGAGTTGATGAAGTTGAAGAGGAAGAGGAGATGGACATTCACATTTGATAATATTCATAACACTCCTTCTTGGATGTTCATTATATCAGGATGTGCTTTATTAAAAAACTTCAATTAGAAAAAACCTTGTGGGATAAAAACCTAGCAGAAGAAAAAGAGTACACATTCATTGATACACTATTCGGTGCTGCCTCATTAAAACCTTGCTAAGAAAATCCAGTGAGAAAAACCATAGACAAGGAAAAAAGAGTACAGTGTGTATTTAACTCCCCCTCTTGATAACATCAATTGATATCCCTGAGTTTGTGGCATGCGATATCATGAACAATTTTTTCAAATATTGTAATTGGAAGTGACTTGGTGAACAAATCTGCTAGATTTTTATTTGAACGGATTTGCTAAGTATATATTTCACCATCTTTTGAATATTATGAAATACTTCATTTGGAATTACTAATATTTGGATCAAAAAAGAATTTACAACCTTTATTTTAGTGTCTTCGTGTTGGTAAAAAACTATATCTTACTAGTAAGTTAACAACAAATGATATATCAAGTCATATGTGACTAGCAAGATATACAAGTGCACTAATTGTACTAACATATGGTACTTTTGGATCAAATAGTTCTTCATCAACTTCTCAAAGCCTAAAAAGATCTTTATTCACATACACAAATCTCACAACCATCGAAGTACATAATGAATATGATTTATCTATATAAAACACTTTAAGACCTTTCTTGTATCAATTATTTGATACACAAAAGTTTTTATTTCTCAGGCATTCAATTTGCAATTCGAGACAAAACTTTGTTCTTCCCAAGTTCTTCATTTCAAATTCTTTCTTTAAACAATCCATAGCTTTTGTAAGCTCTTCAGGAGTTCCAATAATATTTATGTCATCACCATAAACAACAATTATAGCAAATTCATTTTCAAATCTTTTTCATAAAAATGCATTGGCAAATTGGATCATTTTTATATCACTTTTTCAACTGATATTTGCTTAGTCGATTATACCACATATGCCCTGATCGCTTCAATTCTTATAGAAACTTATTTAGCTTAATTAAGTATTATTCTCAAGACCTTGAATTATATGTTTCTGGCAAGTAAAATCCTTCAAGAAATTTCATATATTTTGATCCATAATTATAAAATGAATGATACATACTGAAATTATTTTAATCTTCATAACATTTCATATACTGAAATATTTTCTTATATATGCTTTTGGTATATTTTGGATACTTTAAGAATTATCATGTAAATTTTACTATTTAATGATCCTTGTAACGTACTATTAAAAATATATATATATATAAAATAAAATAAAATCAATTAATTAAATAATATTATATTATTATATTATAAAAACAAAATAATAATACCCACCTTTCCACCGAATTCGGTGGAAAGGCTGGGCATCATTTAATGAAACAAGAAAAATGGGAGGGGGAGGTATTAATGGTCGAAGGAAAAGAATGGGGAAGGAGCAGATGGATGTAGAAAAATGGACAGGGGCGGTGGAAAAATTTGAACATGGTGTTATTAAATACCTTCACCCCATATCTTTTTCAAGTCGAGGGAGGAGACGAAAGAAGAAGAGAGAGCGAAGGAAGAGAGAAGAGTGTGAGAAGGAGAGAGGAAAAGAGAGAGAAAGCTAAGTTGCAGAGTACTTGACAAGTTTTGGGAATAATTTAAGTACACAAAACTACTTCTTTCTGTCAAATTTTTTTTATAAATATTTCCTATATATTTATAGCTTTATATTTTTAGTATCATTATAATGTTTAGAGAAAATTTTACTGTTTGGGTATAGAGTAAATATGGAGTTTTGACAATATATGACCGTAGAAATTTAAAGATCCATTATTAAGGAATTTTAATCAGTTTATTTTTGTTTAATGATTATTTTGAGAATTTTAAACTAAGATTTTAGTTGAAAAGTTTGTTATTTAGACTTGTAATATGTTTTTACCGATTAAATTTGAGTTAAATAATTTATTTGAGTTATTTAATATATTATTGAGATTTTAATCGATTTAAATATTGAATAAGTTAAATATATATTTTTGAAATAATTTTTGAAGGATTGAAAAATTATAAATTGAGAATTTTGTGAAATTAAATAAAGCTACAGTTTGTTTATAATTAAATATATATATATATACTTTTGTTAAATTTAAATAGCCTTATATGTAAATTATTTTTCAAAATAATATTTATTATAAATGCTTAGATTTGGGAGAGTTAATATATTTATGTAATTTTGGTTTAGAGGGTAGTCTTAGAATTTTAGAGTAGCTTTGGAGTAATTTTGAGTTTATGTTAATAAATATTTATGTGCAATTTTGTAGACTTGAGAATTTTGGAGTAATCTTTGTGTGAACATTTGTAAGCTAAAGAGTATCAGGTAACTCTGAAAATTCTTTCTTGTACATGTGAATTGTGTATGAATATATTGTGGATTTACTAATTATTATATTACTGAAATATAATATTATGATTTTTTTGTAAAATAAATGTTTTGATATGCTACCTGTTTTATTAAGGTTTGTTGCTAGTAATTATGATCAATATTTAAATATATTAATAGCTATGAAATTATCATGAGATACTGTTAAATGGTATATGAATTTTATTGCTATCTTATTTTTAATAATATATTTGAGAATATATTTATGATGTACCATTATTTGCATATGACATGCATTGTTGGGTTAAGAATAGAAGGAGATTACATGAATATAAAATTACCACATGGTATGCCATCACTCGGTGCACAGTGGATGGCACTTGTCAGGGCCCCTTCTTCCATGTTTTCCTTTGGCCGGGAATTCATTGGAACTGTAGGACATGTGACACCTCCCTATTCACAAAGGAGGGGAGCCATAGTCC